GCCCATATTAGCCTGATCAGTAGATGATAGTGTAGCGAGCGCCAGGAAAGCATCTAGAATGATAACAATCGAAATCGTTTGAATTGAATTAGTTGTATTTTTGTATTTTACCAGCGAACTTTAAATAGAATTTAGCATTCATCATTTGGAATTGTACCAGATTTGATTGATTTGAGCAATTAAATATTATTTATCAATGTTTTCGAAATATAATTTAGTAGGACCGACGCGGAGGATATGCTTATTGTTATTGTTATAACGGTCACATATAGTCGAAAGCAGCGGTTCTCCCCCATAGGCGCGGGACCTTCTTAAATGGGGCACAGAGCAGTTGGAAGGGGGTCACAATACTAGCTGCATAACTGATTTTATTTTTCCGTTTGAAAAAACTGCCCGTTCTTTCCAGTTTCATTGCTTGACAAGGTTATTTCACAGGATGTTTTTGTTTTACTGAGCTTTAATTGTTTGAACTTGATGAGATTCGGAATCTATAATCAAAATAACACTATATAAATACTACTGTAATGACAGACTGGGTGGCCATGAGTGCTAAAAGCCTCCGAAAGGGTGCCACGAGCCATAGAAAGGTTGGAAACACTGGTCGAGAAAATTAGATTTACTTATTTTTGCAGTCACTATCTCACAGTATAAAAACTGTTAACATTACCCGATCCGTTTTCCACGTAACGCTCCGAGGTATCAACTTTCTGATAATATGGTCTGTTATTAAGTAATTAATGCGCAATTGATCGTTTCCGCAATGCGTTGAATATGTCGCACGTTATTTGACACATAATTATAGATCTGTTTGTTCCACATAGTACCATGGCTGTCAAGATGAATTTGTAACGTTCAGGATGTTTTAGTAATTGTTTTATGTCTTTATAATGTTTTATCCGCGTGGAATTATTTGTGGATTTAGTCGGACGATTTTTTTTCAGTCAGATTTAGAAGTATTATATATTGATACGTTCGTTGTTTTAAGAAAGAAAATCAGGTTTCATGAGGAATCCTGATAGAATGAGGCGGTTTACTATAGTTAGCCTAAAGGCTTTGGTGTGGCGAGTCTCCGGGTGCAAGTTTGTGTAACGTCGCTTTATGTTGTGTCTACTTCGCTAATGAGTGCTAAAATGCCGTGTCAGATGGAATCGACCCGGTAATCTGTGTTGATATAAACGGTCGTGAGTGTTTTCTAGTGATTAGTAGTTGCGATGGCGGTACTGAATGGTGCTAGGTAAATATTCTCATATCCCCTAAATATGCAAACGCATTGGTTACATGTACTCCTTTTGGTTGAGCGTAACAGAGAATTTTTATTTTCTTTATTTTAGAAAATTTTGTTCTCCAAAACTCCAACTAATTTCAAGTTTTGCTGACCCAATGTTCTTAGAAACTGTTTGAAGTTTTAATGACTTCGACGTGGTAGGTCTCAGAGTGCAAGTTTGTGTTACGTTGCTATGTGTTGTGCCTATTTCCCTAATGATGAGTGCTAAAATGCCATGGTGGGTGGAATCGACGCGGTCATCTGTGCTTGGGTACTTTGCAATGGTGGTACTTGTCAATTCGTGTGCTGGGCTAGGAAAAATGTCTGTAGTGCAATCACAACGGCTATACGTACGCCTGTTTTGCTAAATGTAACATAAAATACAATTTAAAAAAATTGATCATTTTGCTGAAATATAAAATAATTTTTAACTTTTTTTAATTAATATTTTTTTTGTATTCAAACAAACACTATTCACTAAGTAATAACCAGTGTAACAAGTAAAGTCAGTCAGTCGTCCATATTTTGTCATTTCTAGAGTGCAATTTGCAAAATTTTGTTAATTAGTTGTATCGTATTTAACCAATGCATGTCCTGAAGAATTATCATATTAACTTTTATTGGCCACTCCGTGATGGACTAGCACGTAATTTTGTTTGTGAAAAATTTTGATAGTTCTCGAATAAAAATAAACTAGTTCCATCCCAAATATCACATCGAAAATTGTTGAATTACAATTACCGGTAATTCATCATTACTTTGATTTTTTATTTCGTTGTTAGTCTGTACATCCACGCGAATGCAACTAATCAATCAAGGCGTTGATTAAGTTGGCAATTTTATGATAGAAATAGTCGATTTGCCAAATGCAACCGTATAATATTACAGGATGCCCTAGGGTTCTGTATTTGGAATCTGTCTAAACATGGTATCAATATTCGAAAAATCGTAAAAGTAATTTGAGACATGTAGTTGATTGAATAATAATTTTTCGACATTGGCAAATGGCAATACACCTTATACTCTTAACTTTTATTGAAAAGGCTGTTAGACATGTTTAGATTATTGTTTGTTAGAATTACGAAATTCTATACAGTATCTAATTTTAGAAAAACGTGACCGAACGGACATTGTTGTGGATATAATCTTTGAAATGTCAAATTATGAGATGTTATTATTACTTCGAAATATTCCATGTTATCGGGAACTACACAGGGTGTCCAAAAATGTCGCCAGATTTTATGGTAATAACAATTAAAAATTGCTTTGTCTTTGTTTATTAATAGTTCTTATTGTACTTGTAGTTCTCATTTATCATACAATAAAATTTATTTAAACTTACAATTGTTATTACTATAAAATCGTGCGAAATTTTTGAAACACCCTGTACTGTTATACATTTATGACAAATTACTAGCAATTCAAAGCAATTGTTTTGAAAATATGTGTTACTGTGTTATTAAAATAAATGGAAAGAATTGGATGATCGCATTGTATGCGACCCCAGTCTTTTATATTATCGATGGGTACTCCCGTAGTGTGTGTACCAGGTTAGGGTTACGCCATAATTTTATTCTAATGTTCCTCATTTTCCTCACTGTCTGTGTTAACCAAGTGAATATACCCCCTGTACATAGGTTTCAGTCCCTTTACACAACTTGATGTAAAATAGGCGAACGAAATTACTTACCTCCATAATGGTACACATACTTCTAGAGCGCCGGTCGATGTTTCGTAATGTTGTGGCGAGGAAAGAATGATTCTCCACCGAAACAAGCATAAAACCGTCATACGACATTACAACTCGTATACAACATTTCAACGAATTGTTCGTCATATCAGATTAGTCATATAAACATTAGCTTAACAGTTATTTGTAAACCGCAACTGCGCTGTTATATAAAAATAATTGTTGCAACTAAACTAACTAGTGTTATGCACTGTCTTTTGCACAATTTGAATAGTTTATGATGTGTTCAAATATTGGGAACTTTTATTAAAAATACTTCGTTTATTCATTTGCGTATAATGAGTAGTTAGTCGGTGAACCAGTTACAACAAGATAATTCCGGGTTTTACTCGCTATTCCCAGTTCAACAGCAGATTAATTCGGATTATTTCGTCTTTGCCTGTAGTTCTTTTTCTGATTTTCAATTTTACTAGGTTCCTGACCGTATGAAAAATCTAGAATCGGTTTATATACTTAGGTATTTACCATGCTCAAACCTTCAATCGCAATATTTCGTATTGCAGTAATGTATCTAAACCAGCGGTTCCCAAACTATGGGTCGCGACCCACTGGTGGGTCGCAAAAGGAATCTTAGTGGGTCATGAAAAGATGTAGAAAGCTTTGGTTAATTATACTGGTTATTAGGATCGGTGGCGACTCGAATACGTAAATCTTCAAAAAAAGAAATTAAATTGAATTTAATTTTGTTTCCTTTTTAGGATCTTCTCAAAGGAACAAAAATTTGCTACACAAAGAATGACCATGTGGCTTTTTCACGCATAGCAGTTTTGTGCACTGTACAGCACTTCTTACCGTGTTTCCCCGAAATTTAGACAGGATTTAGGTTTATTTTCTTTCGAAGAATAACACTATGTTTTTTTTTTTGGAAGAGGTCTTTTGTGTTCATTTATCAATAATAATTACATTGTAGAAAATCACAAGATTTTTTAATAATTATTATATAAAAACCGACGTCCATTGTTTTTATTTGTATTTTCTATACAAAAATCAAGTGGCAAATATCATAATTGTGATTGTGACATCACACAATCTTGAATAGTGGAGTGATCTTCACCTTACCTCAGGTCATTGAACCTTTTCTCTCCCACACATTTTAAATTTATTTTCGGGTAGGGTTTAATTAAAATAATTTTTAAAATTCAAATTAGGTCTTATTTCCAGGCCAGGTCTTATTTCCGAGGAAACACGGTAGTTTTGCGATGATTAGCCATTGCTGTGTTCTTTGTTAAGTCATAAAAAGTTAAGTGGGTCGCCATAAGCTGCGGTAATAAATAGTGGGTCCCAACTCTGAAAAGTTTGGCAACCACTGATCTAAACGATAGATAGTAGTTTAAGGCCTGGAATGCATGGCGGGTAAACCAAAATGTTGGCCACACTTTCTGAAAGTTCTTGCTGTTTATTTCTCTTGAAAGTGAAACAATTGAGAACTGGTTATAACAAGATAATTCCGGTTTTTACTAGTTATTATCAGTTTCCACAACCGCTATTATCTGTCGTATTCTAGATTGTGGACTTACTCAAGATACGTTGTGTTTGCTTGTGATTTTACTTTTTACTGAATATGCGTTGTTTTCAATTTCATTAGGCCGTAGAAAAACTCCAACATCGGTATATACCAGGGGGGGCAAGGTTTTGGGACCTAAATAAGCCGAAAATTCAGCCCACCTAGACTGGCGGGCCATGTAACGTAAAAAGTTACATTTTAAGAACAATATTTACAGTGTTACAAAAGCAGAAGTGGAAGGCAATGAGCATCATGTCAAAACTAAATTTAATCGCAATCTCAACAATTTTCCTAATTAAGCTATTTTTTATAGCTGAAACGTCAAAATTTGGTTTTAGTTCAGTTTGGCAGAATCAGGCGGGCCAAATTGAATTACTCAACGAGCTGGATTTGGCCCGCTGGCCGTAGTTTGCCTATGTCAGGTATATATGCTTATTTACTAAACTCTTACCTTTGAACTTCTTATTTCTTATTGCAGTAACGTATCTAAACGACAGATATCAGTTAATTAGAATTAGAATTATATGGCGGGTTGGTGTACTAATAATGGATACAATATTTGGAACAACGAAACGAGACTAAACACTTATGGAATATAAAGAATTAGAGAAGGACGTTGCCCAAGAAGATATCAGCCATGAAGTTCAAGATATTTCAATGAAGAAAATGAAATTAAAAGATCCCGACGACGGAACAAAACTAGACGACAAAGGTTAGAGTTTTCAGTTGATGAATATAGTATACCCACGGATATTTTGAATATGTTTATCCTTGTCCCTGCTTTTTTGTGAGCATAGCTATTCTACATACACACTATATCGAGTGCAACAGGCCCTAAAAGGCAACGCGTTATATAAAGACTTCGGCTAAAGTCACCAAACAAGGCCAAATTCAAACTTATAAGTATATGGTTACTGTGTTCGTTTCTTTGCTCATGTTTTTTGTTGTTGGCATGGTAATTATTTATTTATCATATAATCAAGACAGCAAAAACGTATAGCTAACACGATATACCGAATTAATATTACGGGAATTCCAAACAAGGCCAAAGACTACAAACACTTATAATGAATACTGTAGTTTCTGTGCCACGCCATCATTTACGCTTGTTGTATTGTTAGTGGAGTAATTATTCATGTTTCGTATGAGGACCACAGAACTTTACAGGTAACACGCCTTCAACAAGGCGAAAGACCAATAAAACCTGAAACTCAAACTCAGGACTGTTGCTTCTGTGTCATGTTTTTTTTTACGTTTTCGCGTATTGTTATTATAATAATTATGCATACATGATGTAGTCAAAACCTATACAGCTAACGGTATATATAAAAATTTTGTATCCGATCTGGGCCAAAGAAAAATAAAACCTCAAACTCAAACTTTGAACTATGCGTTCCGTGATATCTATTGGTGACTCAGACGTATTTGTTAGTATGATAATTATGCATATAAATTTTTAGTTGGGGAAACAGAAAGTAAAAAATAACATAATATATAGGCTTTGGCAATGTCTCCAATTTAGGCCTAAGACTTCTAAAACTCGGACGTGTGTTGCAAGCAAGATGACCTAATAACAACAGTGTCCATTAATGTTCGTGCAATGTCTTATTTGGAATGGATGAGTGAAACTGCCTCAAAATTGTGAGTGAGTGACAGCAAGGGGCTTAGCCATGGGCCCCACTTTTGAAATGTAAGAAAAGAAGCATTCTCTGTATCATACGAAGTAGTTTTCCGTAGCTTGGAAGCCTTTTTATATCCGCAAGGCTCTTCAAACCCCACGTTAATTCTTTTTAACCAGTCCCTTTTGAAAGTTCTTGGCTTCGCCTCTGGTTACAACTCTCTCCGCCATCGTATAGTCCAGGGTGGTCCAAGGTTGTCGGCTCTGCGGGCGACAAAATTATTTTTTGCATTGTTCGCGGGCCACAATAGTGCCAAGAATAGGTAAACAGGGCAATACAAAACGCACAGTTTTATTGTGCAATCACATAGTTATCATGCATAGCCATTCTAGGCTAATAGAATCCGCATTCGATTTTTAGTTTTCTATGGTGCCTATATTGTTAGCATATATTCCCGACCAATTAGAAAAAAGAAAGCCAGATAACAATTTAGACTGCCAAGCACATCATTCAACTTCGCTAGTTTCCCCAGCTAGCCATAACACTATTTATTTCAGTGACATTAGTGATGACAATATGTAAAAAGATTTTTCTGATAAATTTTATTACGAAACAACACGAAATGCGATTTTTTGATTACTCTCCGAATGTGACGCGGGCCACAGGTAATGAAGCGGCGGGCCTGGGTTTTACTTTGTACCACCCTGGTATAGTCCATGCAACTACAGTGATAAACTGATGACGTCATTAATCCTTTGCTCTACCTGGAGTGGCAACCAAGTGAGAGAAAATGGTTTGCGTATGATTATACCGTCCTTACCTTTTCCCTTCTATAAATAAGAAAAATCCTATTTACAAATTGCAAATCGGAAACTACGCGGACAATGACATGAAATCACAAATATCTTATATTGTTTAACCCGAAGCGACAGATTTCTCGCCGAAAAAAATTGGATCGTGAGTTTGAGGTAATTCATGGAAATTTAAATGTCAATGACAGCAGGAATATAGTTTCGGTCTTGACGTCTGCCAAACAAATAACGACAATGCGTTTCCTAACGAGAATTAATGTTGGCATGATCATTATGGTATTTTGCCAATCTATTTGTGGTTCTCATTATCAAAATTGAAAAAACTATAACGCAACCAAGTCCATCATTGCCAATGACGTTTGTTTATCTGCTTTATTACGCGCCGATGCATTTTCGTAAGAAATTATACGACGAGTAAACGTCAGTTTAAAAAAACACACGACGTAAATACAGAATGGTATGCTAAATACGAACATTTTTTTTTTTACAAAAAAATTGAAAATATCAGTCATGACTAGGGAGAATTGTATATGTATTTATTTCATACTCAGGACACGGGAGGAGCAATATCCGAATGTGCGGCTTGATAGGCTATTAGCCTATTCGTAGCCTATTTTGGGGATGTTCTTACATTTGCAGTAAGACATAAATTGATACGCCTTTTCCAACACTACTTTGCTTTATTTTTGAATGATTTACTAAAAACCGGCTGTTGCATTTTTTAAGTCTGGCTACGCTCTTGGGCCAGCTTCTAGGAAGAAAGCTATCAATTCAAATGACGATTCGGACCATATTCCACACCATATTCTTAACTGTTTCATAAAATATAGGCAGCATTAGCTACTAGTGTAAGGCCATGGGTTTACATTTTGTTTTAAAACATCGAGGACCTACGTTTTCTTGAATTTAATATTCACAATCGTGGAACTAGTCAAGGAAACTATTAGAACTATATTCAATTCACGGGTCTAAATCGACCACGTTTTGTATCATTATCGAATTCAGACCCAATCCCAACACACCGCCCAACGAAATTGTTCTAAATAGGCAAGACATGAGAGCGAAGTGCGTGTTTTGTTGACTTCAACTTCATAAATATATCGCAGTTTCATGATATAAAGAATATTGTAACGTACTTCCCGTGTTTTTATTCGCGTATGTAGGTGAGTTTACGTGGTTGTGATTATCATACTTCCAATGGAATAAAATGAGTTTCAGGCAATTCCAAAGTCACTCATCCATGCGTAATGCGTCATATACTCGCCATTTTGACGCACAACGCCACTTAGACACGCATGATCAACCCGTCAGATGCAAAACTTATTATTGCATACGAGTATCATTTTTCTAGATTATTGTTTTTTGAGTGATCGTAATACATAATTTACTGATCGATTTCAAAATCCCAGTACTTTATGATTGAAGCCATTTTCATTTTATTTTTTCCAGATTTTCGCTCATGTCTTACGAGATCCGATATTTTACCAATTATATCGCTGCTTTATTCTAATTCAAAGGAAATCCCAACTGTGAAATTGAATTTGCGAGTTTTTCAGGATATCAATTACTCAAATATTTCACGAGTTATGCCTGCGCATTTTGGTTCGAGTGATTCATTTCAAACTGAGAAAGTACTTCGTATATTGATAGTTATACGCACATTAGACCATTCTTAGACATGCAGTTTCAGGTTTACGTATTGGTATTTATTACAATAATATAGATGTTTAAATACTAAAATATACAATAATCATTGTGTTTGTTTAGTACTTTTTTCAGTTGCAAACCACAAAAAACACCTATTTTTATATATGACTCATGTTTAGCTATATTGCACGCCTGGAGTAAAATTTAGGATGAACTGTGAATTAAACAAACCTCTGACGCATTTGTAGAATTTCAATGACGACACGCTTTGAATACCGCGTGTCAAAAATATTGTTCACTATTTTTACCCTCGGTACGGTCCGCCCCACTTATAGCACTTGTTCCACTTACCCCGCGTGTACCATCTGTGCCGTATGTTACGCCCCCTGGTACCGATGGTAAATAATATAATATACTGTATCAAAAATATTCTGCGGTAAAATGCTCTTTTCAGAAACATTCAATCCTATGACGTGAGCTCTTTTAATTCCAAGTAAATGACGATGGTGATATTTGAAATGAAATTGACTTTTATGACGTCATACACGGATGAAAAATAATTTCAACATCCTATTATTCATAAAGAATATTTTGAGTAACTGTTTTTCTTATTCATAACGGATTTACGAATTCCGTTAGTGCAATATCGACATTGATCGTTTTGAGATGAGAGTACAGATAAGGTAGGATTAAAAAAAAAGGGTATTTGGTATCGCCAGCAGCATATTATGGGCATGAGAATCCATCCAACAAGAGTCACAGTGATCAACAGTGATCACTTTAAACAATATTTTAAATGCCCGAAAGACCAAAATAAGTAAAGATCTTAGACGTGAAACTTGAAATTGTTTAGGGAATGCGGCCAGGAAAAGTTTTTGTTGGTCGGACAGCCAGAAAACTCTATAAAGTAAAGTTTCCAGGCGCGATATAAAATATTTCCATTTATCGCGGACAAGAAAAGTTTTCAGTGGTGAGAAGACCAAATATATTCTCGGGGGTTGCCGCGGTGAATCTTTCGCCGTTCTGCCCGGCTTGCCGTTTATTATTGTAAGACTAAGCGGTAGCTACATTCTCTTCTATTGCCTTTCCCCGTCAAATTTTTCATGTGGTCCGGCTAAATGTCTGAAGTTGGTTATATGGCCCACCGACAAAAATGTTGCATACCCCTGTTCTACAAGATTTATGACTATATCTCTGACATTCAAGCTCACAACCTTTCCCAAGTACCAGCTGTTCATGTAGACTCATATTCGAAGCGGAGTGGTTGAAAAGGTACATAAAATTCGGTAAATAAATAAAATTAATATCTCTCAAATGCCCGTTAGTTTGATTGAATTTTATAATACGCAGTTCTGATCCGGTTTCGATCATTTTCCCCATATCCATCGCAAGATTAGCTTTGTAAACTAACTTTATTTGCGATAACAAGCGTTAGTAAGTTCATGAAATCCCCCGCGGGATGTAAAAATGGTGCTTATTTGTGATTCATGCTATGATAACTAAAAGCTTACATTCTAATCGGCATTTTCGTCTTTGAACTCAACCGATCGTGTTATGTGTATTCCGTACGTCGCTGGTTGAAATGCAAAATCGAAAGACAATTGGTCGTAATAGTTGAAAAACGTTCCAAAATG